ATTTATTTTATTATGATAAAACTGTATAATAGTGAAAAATCTTCCAAAACCAGAGCTGTTTCAATTATTCAGAAAATTGTAGTAATCAAATTGTCCAGTGCATATGAAAGGAAGCTCAGCATATTGGTTTATATAGTTGTGTACATTTTCTTCATTATTACTTTTATATCAGTCTCTTGGGGTTTGTTTTTCTCCTCTCCAGGAGAAGTAGCTTTACAAGCAGTTTGAATGTGGTTAGTTCATTGGGTTGTGTAACTTCAGCAAACCTCAGGTTGGCACTACTGTTCCTAGAAGCTGGAGAGCAGCAGGAGTACCTTGCAATAGGGCAGAAGGTACTTTGCATCGGCCTGGGTTTGGTGGATGGTGCAGAGAGAGTGGGGTTTATATCTCTGAGTCTCCAGATGAGCCAGGGGTGATGTGTGTGTGGGGAAGGATGGTGAGGAAATAGAGTTGGTGTGGCCTTTGGCATGAAATGGAGCAAGGAGCTCTTCCAGCACAGTGACCTGACAAAAGTATGATCTTTAGCACTAAGCTCTGTGAGCCTCCTTCCATGGTTTCTGTGCAGCACTGAGCTCTTTTGTTGTGTTTTATGATAAAGGCACATGCTTGTTCTCTGAGACTGTTAAGCTTTGTTGTAAGTGTGTTTCTCTTCCTTTGGTGAAATGAAGAATTTGGTGCCTTTGAGAGCTCTTGGCTGGCACTGCCAGGCACTGTGAGACTTTTGCCAGTGTGCAAAGCAAGTTGTCTTTGCTGGGAGAGATAGTGTGAGCTGGGGCAGTGCCCTTCTTTCACCTCAGTCTGTGAAATCTTCTCTAGCAGTGCCAGCAAGATGGGAGGGGTTTACAAAGGTGCTAGTGTGTTAGTGATGTAGTGAGAGGGAGCCCAGGCTAGAATTTGTCACCTCCACCCAAAAAGAGGACTGGAGACACCTCTGGCTTTCTGCAGGTGGCTTTCTCCATCTGGTGAGTGATTGGAATCCCTGTGTCATTCCTTGATGCCTCTCTCCTGCCCCTCCATTCAGGATTCACACCCACAGTGCTGCTGCACATCCTTCTGCTGGAGACCAGCAAAGCCATGGCCCCTGGTCTCTTTAAATAACCATTGCTCGGGCTTCTCCAGAGACCCCAGGGGGATAACAGAAGTTCAAAGCACTTATTTGTAAGGTCCCTAGCTATTAAGATAGTTTAGGGTATGTTTACTTTCTAAATAGAAAGGGAAGGAGATGAATCAGTCATCAATCCTTTTATTTTCCTGCACTGTAGCCCTTGAATCTCAAACAAGTAAGGAGAGAGTGCTTTGTATTTGGTGATGACATTTTAAACCACTGAAGCAGCAGTTTATTGTCTTAACAAGTTGGAACTAGAAGTCTGTTTTTTTCTGCTTTCAGTTCAGTTTTACATCCTTGCAGTTCCACTGGCTTTATTTTAATTTTCTTTTTTTCTATTTATAGCAAAATAATGGACACCATTTTTGCCAAACAGGGATTATTCTTGCCTTTTCCTCTAACTGGGTATGCAGGTATACATTAGTATATTTTCCAGTAAATTTCGTTCTGTTGATGCAAAATTTCTACAAGTTCTTGTAGTACAAAGAGAGCAGCAGTGACCAAAATGAGGTGTTTTATGCAATTCTCAATCTATAACTTATGTATGTATAGGTAAGAACCACCTGACAAGAGCAAACAATTTTTTTTTCAGTTTTTAATGATTAAGGTTCCTGTGCTGATTAGAATAGTTATCAAACTATTGGACTTATTCATGTCATACCAGGGGATAAAAAAAAAAAAAAAAGCTGTAGTCAGCCTGTGATTGCAGAAGAAGCAATTATGGTTTCTTGCATTTGAAGGGTGATCCTGTCTCCTCACACGAGTAAAATCTCAGCATTAGAACTGAAATCCCACTAAATGAAAAATGTTACTATGTGATGGAGGTGCTTGGTTTTACTGATCAGTTATTCCAGTGAGTGATATTGCAGAGGACTCTCCTTGCCCAGTGAAGCATATTTCAGGCTTAGGATTCTATATTAGAGCTGATGGACATGCAGAGCCTCATAAAAGCCAGTTGTTACTCTTTGCTTTCCAGGTGATTCAGGTACAGCTGCAATGTATAAAAGGGAGGGCAGGAGATATTTGCAGTATTGATTTGGGCTAGAGCTTTTCTTGGGAAAAGACATCCCAACATCTGTCACTGGGACTGCAAACAAGCCTTGAAGGGAACGATGCTCTGAGTACACACACAGACTCCATACACACCCTCTGCCTCTTCCAGTCACACCAGTGACTTTTGGGGAGTGCCTGGGCTGGCCAGTGCCTCCTGCAGAGAAGAGAGACTGAATGTGCCTTGTGCTGCTTCCAGCTCCTCTCAACACAGAACAGCTTAATTCCCTTTTATTTTGGTAGTATGGAGAACCTACATGAATCAGGGTCAGGATCAACAGACTACATAATACTGCAGTGAACATGTTTGAGTCCTACATGGGTCTGCTGGAGGAATGTTCCTTTCTCATCTTTGCTGTCATTCTAGACAATCCCTAACAAAAATACAGAGTCCTCTTATTTTTTCTTTTAATAGATTTTTTTTTTCAAACTCTTAATGCCTCTGTGGTAACATGCAGGTCTGTCAGAGAAGGTCATGTTAATTCTCTTCAGGAGAATTGGGCTCAAAGTCAGCAGGCTTGCAATTCCCATTCTCATTTACACGTGTGTGAGGAGCTGTGGTCTGACAGTGTTTGACCCCTGTTGTGTACACGAGTAAGTGATTATGTGAGGTTCAAAGCAGCAGGGAATTCCATCTGAGACTATTTTGTCCAAGTAGATCTTGTGTAGCTGACTGTTTTATTTTGTCCTCTTTGGCTGAAACTGTTGGAAAAAAATCTCACCAGTTCACCAAAAAAAAAAAAAAAAAAGACACTCAGAAAAGCCTGGAGATAAAATCCACATCTAAATAACTGACATTAAAAAAGCTAAGATAAGGAGAAAGAAAGGAAGACATCCTTCTACTCTAGCTGTGTTGTCTTATCTTTTCCCAGAGAAAAACAGCCTTTTAATTTCCTTCCCTGCTTCCTGTTGCTCTGAAGTATGTGTAAATAAATGTGAAAAAGGAACCATGCTCCTAAATACTTCTCACAGGTTCCGTGAGTTTGGCATTACCAAACACATTTCACTCAAGCAAGCCTTCATTCTTCTTTCAGTTTTCATTTATAACTCACCCAGGGTAAAATTTGCTTTAAAATTTAACTTCTCTTTATTTGGACACAGGTTCTTGATGTTGATTTCACCCTCATGTATATCCATATATATAAACAAACACATTCTTATTCATAGGTATGGGAAGGAAACTTGAGTTCCCGAGAATTACGTATGTGATAATACTGTTTTTGCAGCAGTGGGGAGAACTGGGGAGAGAACAGATATAAAATGGGCAGCATTGATTGAGACTGCAGTTATGCAAAACAGTGCTCAGTGTCAGCATGTGCTCAGCTTGAGGTCCAGGGTTGAAAACACATGCTGGTAGATCATCTTCTGCAGTAGTGCTTTTCTGAATTCAGACCTAGCTGCAGTGTAACTCAGCAGTGCTCCTCAGCAGCTCCCCTAAATCCTGCCTTCAGCCAGAGGGACATTCAGGCATTGGAGCATGTCCCAAGAAGGGCAAAGAAGGCAGTCAAGGGTTTGGAGAACAAGTTTGATGAGAAGCAGCTGGGGGACAAATGACAGGACCAGAAGAAATGGCTTCAAGTTGCACCAGGGGAGATTTAGATTAGATATTAGGAAAAATTTCTTCACTGGAAGGGTTGTCAAGCATTGAAACAGATATCCCAGAGAATGGTGGCATTACTCCACCTAGAATTGTTCAAAAGGTGTGTGGATGTGGCACCTGGGAGAAGTTCTCCAGCTTGTTTGTTGGAGAACACGGAGGTACTGGGTTAATTGTTGGACTCAACAATCTTAGGGTCTTTTCCAACCTTAATGATTCTATCTTTCTATAACTCTACACCATCAGGTAGTTAAGATACTGAACTTCTCTGAATGAAAAGGTGAAGTCCAAAATGAGTTTATTGAGGCTAATGATAGATATCTGTGCTCTTTGGATCTGCACAGTCCAGAGAAGAGGAAAAAAGGCCTGTGCATTCGTGATACATTGTAGTTTGAGAGTATTTCAGACAAGGTCTAGTGAAGAGTTAAGTAGCCACTATTGAAAAAAAATGTGGTCCAGTGCTCCTGCTGCTGGGCTGGAGCTCAGTTGTGTGTTGTTCCTGGTTTTGCCATCAATTCCTATTCGCACTGACCTTCCTGCCTATTCTTGCCCATTATTTTTCTGTCTCATCTATCTAGATAGCTGAAGGGGTTTTCTCTTCTCTGTTTGTCTTGGACACTCCATAAGTTAGACTTAGTGTCAAAAAATAATCAATGGCATTAAAAGAAACAACTTTTCTTTGCTTGATGCTGATTTTCTTGGCTTGCTTACTATTTGGTGGTGATAAAAGGAGTTAATGGACATGAATTTTTATGAACTGTTGTACTGAGCTTGAGAATCTAGTGTGAAAAAATTAAGCATGTTTTCTTTTTCCCCTCAAATTTCTCTTGACTACAGGTATTGCAGCTGGGTTCTGAAATCCTCCCACAGTATAAACAAGAGGCACCAAAGACTCCACCGCATATAATTTTGCATTATTGTGTATTCAAGACTACCTGGGACTGGATCATCTTGATTTTAACCTTCTACACTGCTATTTTGGTCCCTTACAATGTCTCCTTTAAAACCAAACAGAACAACGTGGCATGGCTAGTAGTGGACAGCATTGTAGATGTCATTTTTCTGGTTGACATTGTGCTTAATTTCCATACCACCTTTGTGGGGCCGGCAGGAGAGGTGATCTCTGACCCCAAGCTGATTCGCATGAATTACTTGAAGACCTGGTTTGTGATTGACCTGCTCTCCTGCCTGCCATATGATGTCATCAATGCATTTGAGAATGTTGATGAGGTCAGTATACCACTTCCATCCATTTATTATTACTTGGTGGTTGCGGGGGGATGTGGGACAGAATGTTTTTAAATGCATTGAATTATTGTACATATGTCTCTGGTAGCCTCCCACAGCATGCACAGAAATTTGCTTATGAATCCTAGCCAGAAGGCTCACTCTTTAATTTCTGCTGTAGTTTTCACTGTTAAAAATGCTGTGTTTATTTTCATTCTTTCTGTGAAGAAAAGAGGGAAATCCATGGTTATTTTCCTTTTTCTGCACCCTCAGGGTTCAGGAGGACAGGTAGAGGCAGACAGCAGCACCTTTGTACAGCTCTGAGGAAAACTGCTCCATCTGACTGAGCAGGAATAGTTTGGGCTGTGTCAGGACAGTTTGTTGGGGCAGGCTGTGCTTGCTGTTGCTGATGACTGATCAGAGTAGTTCTGCTAATGCCAACTCTTCACAGGAACAACTGGGAAGTAAAATACACATTTCTCAGCTGCTTCTAGTACACTATGGCAGGTGGCAAAGAGGCAGGCAGTGACTCACTGAATCGGCTTTGAGCACCAGAAAACACTGTGGCTACCTGGAGATCTGTGCAGCATTGTTTTGGCAACAGTATTTTTAGAGGAAGGTGAAGCAATTGAAGGTGCTTGTTCGGTAATCTTATAACTAAATGAAATCTAGACTGGAAATCTAGACTCTTCCTTAGTTCTTAATTTCTCTGGGAATAGATCACAATCCAGCAAAAGAACTAACATTTAGACATATTAATCCAGAAAACTAGTATTTTTTAACTGCTTTGTTTTTTTGATCAGTCTGCCAAGAAAATATTCCTAAGGTAAATACATTAAAGTTCCCTGCCTGAATAGTTAAAAGAGTTAATGAATTTTTAATAAAATATTAAAGAGGATTCCAGCAGCCTGCTTACTAGTTATATGTTATAAAATCATCAACTGGTTATGTCTCTGAGTTTATTTGTGACACATGCTGAAGCTGTAAGATGCAGAATCACAGGGTGGCTGGGTTTGGAAGGGATCTCTGGAGATCATCTAGTCCAAACCAGCTGCTGAAGCAGATTCACCCAGGGCAGGTTGCACAGGATTTCATCCAGGTGGGTTTGAATACCTCCAAAGAAGGAGAGGGATTTACATACCTACCTCATGAGGGCTTAGTATTTAAGTTTTAGCCTGTAAAAATTAAATTTTTTATTACTTCCTTTAAAATATGCTCATGTTACAAAGGACAGCCTAGCTATCAAAAGAAAACTATGCCAAGTGAAATATAGGGAAAACCAAACTCCATTACTTTTTAAAAATCACACTGATTTTATAAAATTTATAGTGATTTTCTCAATGACTTGAGGACAGGTAGGCAAGCTATTAAATGCAGTAAAAAAATTTGATGTTATTTGATATTTAATTCCCTGGAGAAGTTTTCATTTTATATCAAGCTACAGACTGAAATAACACAAATTAGATCAAGCAAAAAAGCCTTGTGAAACCTGTCCTTAAGTATTTGTTTGTCATATGAAAGACCCAGACTGCAGATTATTCTGCAAGGCTTTCACATATTGCTTTGCTGTGACACTGATAGAACGATGGAACGAGTGGCCATATGTCAGTTTCTGACATTTAGACAGAAAGAGTAAAAATAATAACTAAAATTAAAAAATTGATGAAGCAAGAGACTAAAAAACCCCAACAAAAGTCAACAAACTGGGAAGGAAGCTTTTCTTCCCATGGCAGATAGAAGCAGCCTGGTGAAGATTTTGCTGAAGGAACAATTTTTGACTTTAGACTGGTAATGTGACCTACAGAACATCCCTGAGGAAAGTGTCTGTATCAGTGGCTGTGACAGCCTTCGAACTGAACACAGAGGATTTTAGACTTGTGGCAATTCTGCAGAGAAGTCCTTGTGTGAGTTTGTATTTCTGCAGGTTCCCCATCTCAGTATTGCCTTGTAGCAATGAGAAGCTGATTGGTACTTCAGTTTTCCCCTGGCTCTTGAACATTCTCCTTAATCAGTATAACAGTGTTAGTTTTAGTTATTCTACTATTATGCCCAAGGGAAAAAAAATCAAGGTTTTTCTTGATGCTGTCCTTTCAAGACTGCTCATCTGCATTTCCCATAGTGGGTTCTGACATTTGGCTGGTATAAGTCACTGTAGGATCATTAGAGCAGAGTTTCCACTGGTGAAAATTGCCATGCTTCTACTGAGGGCTCATAGGCTGGTTGATGGGACCTGAGGGGTTTTGCCTGCAATGCCAGCAGAATAACACAGTGCATATCAGGAGGGGGTTTGGGACAGTAGATGCTGATCACTGTTTGAAGAACTGCCTATAGAGTGAAAGATAACCTTTCAGTAAATAAGAAAAAAATAAAACCCACATTCAAGGAATCTGAAAGCAGAATATCTTTGCCTTTTATTTTTTTTTTTTTCTGTTATGTAGAGCATTCCCTTGTGGGTCAACTGCTTTCCCTTCTTACTGGTTTAAATTTACCTCTCTCTTTCCCTGGATTATACACCATATAATTTCACAGCTGGATTAAGTCAGGGGCAAGGCTGCCCTGCTCAACGTGCAAATAACCAAACTGAACTGTTATCTGTCTGTCACTTTAATTTTGCTAGAGGGAATTGCCTTGGAGCCATGGCACTGGACTCAGTAGCTGGCCATGGCTGCTGCAGGATCTTTTTTTTTTGTTTTTATTTCTGAAGCCCTAATGAGAATATTCTTGTAAGAAATGGCAAGAGATGAAATGACACCTAGGGTCATCAGTGGTGGTAAAATGAAGAATATGAATTGCTATATTCCTGATATTTTCCATACATGATTTTAGACAGGAGGAAATGGAATCCTGGCTTTGTTGCAGTCCCTATAAAATAAGCAAGCTTACACCTAAGGCCAGGTGGAAGCTTGCTTATTTTGCTGTCTGCTGTCATTCTCTGTTTAAAAAAAAGGCACTGAAGACTCTGAGAATGTCATGGAGGAACTAACTTGACAAGTCAATTTGTTCTTAAGAATGTTGTAATTACTGTGATGGAGACTAATTGATTTACAAGGGACATGGGACCTGCAGCACTGAAAAAGTAAAAAACTGTATAATAGGGTATTGAGGGTGGTTTTTTTTGCTCTGGGCAGTTTTGGGACTGTCCCATGACTTATCTCCAGGTTAATAGTGAAACCATTTTTGTCATCTTTAAAATGATCCACTAATTGTAATAGATGAAACCAGAGCTGATCAATATTTTTGGCAAGCAGATACTCAATTGAAAAAAATCTGGTATTGGACTTCTTTTCCTATTTTGAAGTAACTTTTTGTTTTGCAAGTTACTTCGTTATTCCATGATAAGATATAACAGAAAATATTTTCTTGAAACAAAATTAAGTGTTACTTGTGTTTTTTTCAGACAATTTCAAAATTCTTTGGGTTTGTTGCAGTTTGGAACATTAGTTTATTTTCAATTCTCATTTTTCAATATAATTGAAATTCCAGTTTCCTCTCTGCATGGTTGAGAATATTTTTGTCCATAAAAATAATTTGAATTCATTAACTATTAATCAATACAACTATTATTAACTACAATTAATTCAAGAGGCACTTAAGTATGAATAGCCACATTCTACAGATGGAAGAGGAAAGAAAAAAACATTAATATCTTTGTTCAAGGCCATATAATTATACAAGAGACTGATCTCAAGTGCTGTGCTCAAAGAGACAGTACAGCATTTCATATTCAGACATGAGCAGAATTCAACAAATGAAGAAATGAATAGCTGTAGAGAATTTCTCTTATTACCCAAATGAAAGTAAAGTTAAGGATGTTTCTCCTGGCTTTTATATATGGGAAACAAATTACACAGTTAAATACGAATAATTTTCTTGACCTGACAGAATTTCAACAGAAGAAAATATACCATATTCATATTGATTGATGAATCAACTTAATGCTAGGTTTGAACTTTCTATTGTTGAAGAGAATACATCATGCTGTAATTTAGTCTGAGTAAGAAAAGAAAATATTGGTCTAAAATTTAAACAGCCCTTGAAACATGTGGTGTTGGTCTCTTTTCAAATTTGAATGATCAAAATAGCATTTGTCAGTAATTCTTTACAGTAATTAGTATTATTCCTCACTTAAGGAAGTACCACCTACTTTGGGGGGTAATGTTATCTTTTTGTGTTCAGACATCAATCAAAAACCAAGCTTAAAGAAAATTCCACAATTTTTGCCAAGAACAGTGCAATTTAAGACTTTGAATTCCAGAGCATATTTTTGCAGTGTCAGCTTGAGCAATTTCATACTGTGGTTTTTGTCCATAATGCCGTAAGATTTAATTTATATTGGAAAAAATTTGACTTATTACATGTGATGGTGTTGTGAAATCTCATGGTAGGAGTGGAATCCAGTCATGTCACCACCATATAAATCTCTGAAACAGGGAGTTTGTAGTAGTAACTGCTATATGTGTTTGAGCCGAGCACTGTGATCAATTGTTGGGTGATGCCAAATTGAGAACCATGTATCACTCTATTAGTTGAGGTAGAAGAGAAATAAATGCATAGTAAAAGACCATTAGAAAAGATACATTCAGTATAAATGATCTAGTGCTCAGTTAAGTGAATAAGAGAGAAGCTAGCATGTAGGCAAAGGAGATGTACAACTTTGAAAGGCCAAAATTTATGATGATAAAAGAAGTCCCAGAAAAAAATACAATATGGAATAATAGAAGTAAATGAAGATAATTAGTGCTAAGTGAGTGTGGTGTAGCTGGAAAGTAAACAGAGAGTTGAGAGAGGAAAAAATGAATGTGTTGCTGGTCAAATTGTTGGCAGCTCTCTGAGGCAGTACTTTTGCAATAGATTAATTTAAACCTTGTTAATGGGATAATCTCTCATGCTAATACAAATTAGCTATTTAGGAATTACTGAAGCAGCTACACTGGAAAGCATGCAACTTCCCTTTTTTTTTAACCACTGCATTCAATAAGGGGAAGGGGAATAAATTATCATATTTACAGTTTTCTGGAATAAAGTGGGACCTACAAAGAAAGATTTTGGGTTAGATTAATTTTACAAACTGGAAAATGTAATTTTAAAAGTATTTTTAAACTGTAAACATCTGAGTAATATGAAATCTGTTTGAAACAGTAGTTGACCACTCTTATTTGAATCTGTCCAACAAGACAGTGCTGTATTTTGCATGTAAGTCTATTGCTAAATCTAGCAATGAATGAATAATTTTCCATGGCTAATTGAAATTTTAAAGTAGTCATAACCTACTTTTAATGTAATGTTAAAAAAAAAAACCAAAAAACCACCAAACCCAGCTGTGTATCACAGAGTGTGATCCAGGCACAGAGGAGATGTTGGCGAATTGTGGTTCTTGGATGAGATGACAGGAGGGATAAGTGAGACCCTGTGGACTGGGTGAATTTACTGTGGCCTCTGGGGAAGGATGGAGCAGTTGGGTTATTGTGCCCAGGTGGGGCAGGGGAGGGCTGGAACATGGGCCTTGGGTTGGGCGTGTGATGATGAAGGAGCTCTACTTGGGTGGGTGTCCCTGTGTGAGAAGCCCCAGGGAAACAGGACAAAGCCCATGGGAGGTGTGTGCTGGGGGCTGGAACCTGCTAGAAACCCTCGGAACATGGCTAGGAAGGTCCTTGGTGTGGCTCCTAGGTGTATTTGGAGATTCAGAAGGAGCTTGGCAGCCTTGAACTGTGGAAAAAGGGGAGTGTGGTGGGAAGGAAAAGCAGTGGTAGAGGAGGAGGGCTGCTTGTCTGAATTCTGTAAGTGCATCTGTTCTGCAGCATTGCCCCAGGGGGCTGTGCCAGGCAGGAGTGACTCCTTAGCAGACAGGTAGGTGGAAGGAGTATTTTGGAGAAATGCAAATGGTGTGAAGCAGATTCCTGGGGTTAAGTGCACAGCCAGGATATACACCAGCTAGGCAAAAGAAGCACTTGCTGTTCAGAGACTCTTGGGGATTCAAGTGAGGCTGTCTCTCTTCTCTGCTTTGTTACACATCTCCTCATCTCTTCCCCCTCCCATTTTTTTTTTCCAGTCAAATATGAGTTTTTCTATCTTCCTCCCTTAAAAACCTCCCAACCTCCGTGCTACCCATCACATGCCATTTTTATGCTGCCATGTGAAGGGGCAGGCTGTCTTTCCCCCCCAAAATCCTCAGTTTTCCAAATTGTGTTGATGTATATAGGCCCTGCAGGGCTCTTATGCCTTGGAAGACATTCAGGGTTAAATTCTCTCCTATGCTATAATCCTAATTATGCTACCTTTCCATGTTTTACCCAGGCTCAGACACCTTGGTGGCTCAGACATCTGCTCTGTCTGCTGATGGATAGCCTCTACCAAAAGAGAATTTCAGAGCAGGATGTGTTGCTGTGTCCCTGCCTGGTGTTGACCTTCTCTGTAGGTTCTACTTGAGGCTGTTGAGTCCTGTTGACTCTTCTTCTGCCCTCCAAATGTTCAGATTAGTCTTTCTGCTAAGTCACAGATAAGTAAGGATGTTACTGAATTTCAGGGCTACTTCTTCATAGCTTTGAAAAGCCTGACATGATTTATCATTCTGTTAAAGAGAGAATAGTAGTCTACATAAGCTATTCAATCTGTATCAGGCTAAAAGAATTAAAAGGCTGAATTACATTTTCAGTGATAATGTATGGTGATAGCCTTTGTCCAAAGAGAGCTAATTGAATATATTAGAGTCTGAATTATTTCAAAAAGCTGCTGTTAGAGAGAGACTTACACTGTGTATAAAGGGAGGCATGTTCCAGAGGCAGGGATCAGTTACTCTCCCCCATTCAGCACACTTGTATCGATCTGAGGCAGAAAGTCAGATGAGATGACAAAGAATATTTATTTGAGCAGCTAAGTGGTTGCTCTGTAGTCTATTTCATATTAGGGATAGAATTAGAATTGGAAAAGATGGAGAGGTATTAGATGCCAATAACAATAATATTATTTGGGTGTTTTGCTTCTTTGAGATAAGTAAACAGCTTATGGAACTGGCTGTTGCTTTGAATCAGAAGCACAGGGAAGCAGACTGTTGTCTATCGGGGGTTAATTTTTTATTTGCTACCAGAGAAAGTGTGATTTTTTTTAGGTTGCTTATGTGTCATCTTTATTTTTGTTTTTCCTCTCAAAGTAAAATGAAAATAGAGTTTGTTTCCTGTTTTTTTTTTTTTTCTGAGTGTGCATGTATGCATGCAAGGCAAGCATGGACATAGTTTTACAAATAAAAAATCAGCCTTCCTCTCTCTTCCCACACCCTGTGCTCTAATACATGAATTATTGCTGTTTCTCCCCCAGCTCTAACCAAGCTCACAGATGTCTGACTAAAATAGGCTTCAGGGGTCTAGAGATCTGTTTTCTTCAGTGCTGCAAACCACAGCAGTATCCAGAGGGCTTAGATATTGATTTTGACCTGTGCACATAACGCTATCTCATCTCTTAGTTGCTAAATATGGACATCTGTAGGAAAGGTCATGTTCTCAGACCTAATTAAGAAGATCAGGAGAGACAAATGATGGAAATGTGTAGTCTTAATGATGACCTGACAGGGCTGCCAGGTTACTGCAGATAGGCAGAGCCAGGTTGTGGCATGGCTGACTTCAAATAAAGTGTCAAGAAAGAAGGCACTGCTTTCTGCAGCTCTTGCCTCACAGTAGTGATAAATTTGGTTCATTGCCTCCCCTTTTGGAATAAATAATTTATTTTTTTTTGTCTCATTCTCTTTCTTTTAATGGTTAGCTTTTAGTCTCCTGCATCTCCCATTAATTGATATGAAGCCTGAACTTTAGCAGTTCCATATGAGAGAAAAGTGCTGGAAAACTTAGGAAAGATTTGTGCTAATACTGAATATTTCTCTTTTTAAAAATAGGTAATAAGTAGGAAGTAAATTATCCTGCCTTTGAGCCTAGAAAAAAAACTTAATGCTTGGGTTAAGTGCATTTTCTTTCTGTACATGTAGAAAGTGAATAATGGCCTAAACAGTGAATACTGTCATGTAGATTGAATCTATTACTAAAGTACTTGTGCTACTGCAGCTATAGGAGGTGGGGTGAATGCAGCATTTTAGTTATTTTCTGCAGTTGTTCATGCTGCCTCTTGTTTGGAATGGAAAATGAAGTATTTCTCATGTTTTTGGGGGGGCAGGTGGAGTGGCCTCAGTTACTTTTAATGGCTGTTCATTAGACAATTTGTATTTTTTTTTTCTAGGTGGACTTTTATTAGTCAATGAATTGAGCTGAATTTAATTTTGCATGGCAAATGAACAGCAGCAACTGCTTTTATCTGTACAGCATCTATCACAGTGTGTCCACTGTTACTGTTCTTGGACCACAAAGACATAAGTAACAATAATTGCTCTGCTTACAGCCCTTGTGTTTTCACAGTGTCTCTGCCTCCTTATCTGGGTGTGGAAGTAATAGCACAAATTTTATGTTGTCTGACTGAGAGGTAGAGGCAAAACATGGATATCCTGGATCCTGTATTTGCAAAAAAGGCTACTTACATGGCTGAGGTATCAGTGTGAGACAAGGGGTGCACTCACAGTAGATTAGATCTTGCAGAAAGCAAGGAAATGCAAAAGAAAACCTGCGTAAATGTGCACAGTATATAGTGAGGAAGTCTAATTCATGACAACTGATACATGGAAAATTGCCTTTGGCAGTATTGCATGGACAAACTTAGGAAGCACTTTCCTTGAATATAAAATATGGATACTGCTTTCCCCCAGGACTGAGGCTGGTCTGTTTGTCTGGTTTTGGGGTACAGTTCTACTCTGCAAAGAACGTGTAGAAGGAGAGGGAGAAGAAGTGGTTGTGTTTATTATTTTAAGACCTTTTGACATTCAAGTCTGCTCAGTCAGTGGCTATGGAATTATTTCTTCAGTGTCTCAGTGTCTTGAGCTTGCCCTTTGGTTTGGAGGGGACTGGCTACACTTTCTTCCTTTTTTTTGTGCAGCAGCCATCACTGGCAATGAAAGTAAACCTGCCAACTTATGAAATATTTATCAACACCAATACACAGGTATCAGCAGTAGAATTTTTTCAGTCTCATTCAGTTGCTTCAAAACATTTGAAATATGAGGTGTGTGAAATTCAGTATTTTCTGACATACCTGACCAAGTGCTGCATATTGAAGTGAGCACTGCACCCAAGTTCTCTCTGTAAAAAAAATACAGTAAAAATGTACAATGTGTCTATTCTGTCCATATAACAGATTTTTTTAAATTTATTTTTGCATAGCCTCAAGGGATGTTTTCTGTTGGATAGAGTTCCAGTAGTTGCAGCTGTGTTGGGGTACATCAGACCCAGTAGAACCCCATGGAATATTACTTAGCCTTGTCCTTTCCCTGGCTGCCACATAGACATTCCTTATGGTGACCCTTTAGAGCAGAGTACCTGGGGATGCCTGCTTGGGACACCCAGTGCCATTTCTAGCTCCTCATGAACTGAGGTTTTTCTATTTCCTTTGGGCACAAGGATCTTTGGGTGCCTTTTAATCTGCCTCTCAAAACTGGCAGGAGCAGCAGACCAAGAGGGTGGGACACACATCAAGAGAAGTAAATTGAGTTCAGGCTCCTTTGCGTGACGTCGTGGAGCCATCTGTACGATAAAAGCATAAAAATAATCTGTACCAATAAGAGCATTAAAATGGGCAATAATCTAAAAGTACAGTTCTATTTCAGAAAGTGGTAATCTAAAATTGTCAATTTTTCAATCCAGCAGGTCTATTCCAATGAGCATTGAAATATAACTTGCTAAATCTAATGCCAAAAAGTACTGATTTACAGTATTGCAGGACTATCTGATTTTTTCCCCTACTTTATCATCTGTGAAACAGTCTATTAAGTTTCTGTTGTTTGTAACCATTTGAAATTCTTTCACTTAGAAATTTTCAAGTTATATGCATAACCATTTCCCTGTGCAGTTCTTGCTTTTGATATTGATCCATTTATGATAGACAAATCATTTCCTTCAAGGAAATCAAAGAGAGAGCATTGTTAATACTGAAATAAAAATAAATAGGGTTTTTTAAAATTGAGCTTTTTCTGAATTTTTAAAATCTCATTATCAATGCAATCAGGTGAGTATTAGGAGTAATTTGAATATTAAATGTATCCTTCCAGTGCAACCAAATCAAGTATACATTTTCTGTAAATATTCAAGTTCTTCTTGTAAAAACAGCCTAATTCTCTTTATCTCTGGTCAGAATTTGGTAGAATCAGTTTCTCCCAAATGATGTAGTTTAATTCCATCTAAATTTTTTAAATAAAATTTCTTTTAGTGAATTCCACAAGGGAAATTAGGATAAGAGAATGCTTGAAAGAAGTATTTTCCCTTAGACAGTTAAAATGTGATTTCACATATTTTAATTAGCATTCCCATTTTTCATATCCAATTTCTCGAGCTCCTCTTCTGTGATTGTTTCCTTTCCCCAAGTATTTCTAATCCTTGACTCTTTTTAATTTTAATTAAGAATTAACCAAATTCTAAGCTATTAAATCCTTCTTAAACCTTTATTATTTTTTGGCTTTGGTAGGTTTCTTGCTGACAAACAGCATTTTTTTTTTTAATTGCAGGGATCTGTTTAATTTGAAAAACAGGTTTTACACAAAAATAAAACTGTTTTCTCGGATATTGGGGTGGAGATTTTTATGCAATGTATGATTAAAAGGCTTGGTTTTGAGACTGAAGCTAAAAGAGCACCATTTCTGGGGACTTCTCAAAATGGAAAAAATTAGTGTTTCACTGGTAAGGTTTGTAAAGAGAAAAGGGAGAAATGGGCATGAGCCCAGAGGAAAAAGGCCAGAAGACTTTGTTATAATGTCAGAATATTTTAAATGCAGAGACTAAATGAGCTTGTCAGTCAGGACTTGCATGTCCAATTCTAAAATATGGTTATAATTGTTTGCATTTTCCACTTTGCTTTTTCTCTCCATACTGAGTGTTCAGAAATACCTGCTTTCCCTCCCCTGGAAATTAAGGCCTTTTGTGCCATATTCTCAGAATTGGCACTGAGGCTTTGCTCCAGTGTTTACAAAACAAAGCTGGGTATGGAATGAATGGGAAATGGAAATTAACTTACTCTGTGTAGCAATTTTTGTATCAGTGACTTGAAAAGTTTGGCATAGATATTAATGAAAAGAATAGTGCACTCTCTTTTAGATTTCTGGAAATATCTCTGATTTAAAAGAAGGCTGCTTTTTATATTCTTTTTTTCTTTTTTTTTTCTCTCTCTTTTTACTCCCCACCCCCTGGTTGTATTAGATCTTGTCCAGATACTTAATAGAAATTACTTGTGTGTTCCCAGGTAACAAATTACATCTGTCTCTGAAAATGAGGCAATGTAATCATGACAAATTCATGAAATAAAGGGAAAATGTATTGCTGCAGTCTTGGGGAACATGAGTCAATATACTTTATGTAATTATTTAATAAAACATATTTTATAGTGCATTGAAGCAGCCCAAGATACTGAGGCAGTTGTATTTATTCAGGAATAAACAAACTTCCAGTAAAAGCTGGTGACCAGAAGTATGCAATTATGCATTTCCAGAAATACTCATTAAACCAGTCTGCTTAAATTTTAATCAGACTTCTATGTATGAAACAGTTTTGGTAAGAGGAAGTAGAAAAAAAAAAATTATTTTTATGGTAGGCTATTCAGATCTTCTCATGCTCCAAATGGGTTTGAATTTTTTATTTTGCTTCTTGTGCAAATCTGTATAAAAGTTAACAATACCAAGTCCTGCATGCTGGCTTAATTCTGTTTCATGGGAGCCATAATTTTTTCAGCACAGAAATACTGCATTGATATCAAAGCTGTCATAAAAAGGATATAATTTGGGGATTAGTGAGATATTTGAAATATTAAACTTTGTGTCATTCATATGATAAATGTCAGAGGACTGATTATCAGTGCATGAATTTGTATGAATTATCAGTCACAGGAAATGTGTTGTAGGAAACAGAAAATCTGCAGATTGCCAGGTACTGCCAGTATCTTTTGGCCTTTAACTTTCTGACACTACATCTGACATGTTGCATAAGAATTCACATATGGATATGCAATAAGCAGCCTGTCGTTTGAAGTTTTTACAAAGGTATTTGTAAACCTATTCAAATAATCTGAAAGGGGAGTTCAGAGAGCAACCCACAAAATGGTAGTGGATGAAGGCAGGAGTGCGTATATTCATCTCTGGAAAGGGTCACTAAGCTTTTTGTGCCTCCCGGTTTCTCTGTTATCTGGTGACTATCTGTTTTTTACGGGTCACCTTGTTTCTTTGGAAGCTACAAATATCATTGCTTTCACATGAAACCCTTATGGCCATTGCTCTTTGTCCTTCCAGGGCATCAGCAGCCTCTTCAGCTCCCTCAAAGTGGTCCGGCTGCTGCGGCTGGGTCGCGTGGCTCGGAAGCTGGACCACTACATCGAGTACGGGGCGGCGGTGCTGGTGCTGCTGGTGTGCGTGTTCGGGCTGGCGGCGCACTGGCTGGCCTGCATCTGGTACAGCATCGGCGACTACGAGGTCATCGACGAGGACACCAACACCATCCGCACCAAGAGCTGGCTCTACCAGCTGGGAGAGTCCATAGGGACCCCCTACCGCTTCAACACCTCCGGCTTCGGGAAGTGGGAAGGCGGGCCAAGCAAAGATTCCGTCTACATCTCCTCGCTGTATTTTACAATGACCAGCCTCACCAGTGTGGGGTTTGGGAACATCGCTCCCACGACAGACGGCGAGAAGATCTTCGCTGTGGCTATGATGATGATTGGCTGTAAGTATTAGAGATTCTGTCTTTCTCGTACACAACACCAAATAGCTGCGTGTCATTGTCCTAGTTTGAAAAGCAAAACCAGAAGTCAGAAGTACAATTTATTAGGAAAAAGGAAACAAAGAACCAAATATATACAGTAACACAAAAGAAGAACCACTGACAGAGTTAGAGATACAACCCAACACTTGCTGGCTAGGGCGGTGGTAGCAGATATGGTTCTGTCCAAGCAGTGGTCCTGTAGACTGATGTAGTTTCCCTCTGGAGCTCCAGTGTAAAGAAGGTCTCAGCGGTTCTCTTGGAAGAGGGGATCTACTTGCTGTCTGCACAACCCCACTTATATCCTTGGTGGCATCGTTTGGCTCCTCCCTCTGGGCGGAGCATCTCACAATAGAATGCTGTGATCTTATCAGTCATGTGGCTAAAAGAATAGGTCCTCCTGGAGGGACTGATCTCTAAGGAAAGAAAGGGATTGCAGCTCAAGGTGATAATGGAATGCACACCAATATTATAACCTAGGACAGTCATGAATGCTGAATTCATAAGGACATCTGAAATCCTTTTAAATGTGATGCAGCTAAAAATATTGTTGGTGGCAGTATTACACAATTCCTTACTGGTTAGGTTTAAATCACAAATAGGAGTATTGTGACTAGCAAAAATTCAGTTGTTTTGGAAAAAAATATCCTGTCCATAGCCTCTCAATGTGCTCTTGTAAGTAAACCGTAAAATGCTTAAAGCCTGAACTGTTAAGAATTAATTCACCTTTTTGCGTCCATTTTAGTATGTGGCAAACTTTTTCCATGTCTGAGAGCTGTACACATTTGATAAGTGGGTTAGAGTATGGGAGGAGGTCTGGGAACATCATCTTCTAAGGGAGAGAGAACTGGGACTCTTTAGGAGCCACAAACTCTGCCATGGGCCGAGCACACAGACACATCCTGAAGCAAGGGGGGTGAGGCTGTGCTTGGGCACCTCTGGCTCAGACATCCTTGTTAGAATGGGTACATATTGCCAAGATGTCCAGCTTTTGGCCATGTTGTCATTTCAATGCAGGATCTGCATTCAAAGTGCCTTGAGAGCTACTTAGAGTTAAGAACCATATGGTGGCCACTGTTAAACTAGGTCATGGTTTTTTAGATAAGGTTGGAGCTTGAGCCAAAATAAGGGGAAAAAAATCTGTTTTGTCCATGGGAAAACTTGTCATTGTATGGAGAAAGATAGAAGCTTCTGTATGGTAACATTGCATCCAGAGCAGGAGAAAGTCAATCCTTGCTAAGCAGAAAATGAAAACCAAATACATAAGGAAACTCAATTAGCAGCACAGTTCCTGTTGTAGAAATGTGAACCTTTGATTCTGACATGTCCTTTTACAGCAACACTGATGTCACACACTGAGATTACGTGTGCAGTGTTAAGTCTGATAAATGTTAGTGAAAAAAACTACCAAGACAAGCAATGTTGATCACACAGGGATTGGGATATTTTAGCTATAAAAATTGTTCATTTTGTTTTTCTAGCTTTTTCCTCTGCCAAGAGTCCCATCATCCTAATAAGACACCCTGTAGGAGAAGGGAAGTTTTTGTAAAACTGGATAAAATGTTGCAGTTTTCTCATGAGAAGGTGCATTAAACAATGTAGTGGTGTAGCACAAAAGAGGCTTCTAAGCATATTTCCTGACGAAGGTGCCAGTTTGATAGGAAATATCCTGATCTTTGGCTTATTGTTATGACCACAATACTAGCTAGAACAAGAACAGCTAGTATTGATCAGTATTATTATATAGTGCTATGAATAATGATTAAACATAGCCTTCAAAAAGTCATGAATGTACATGTGGTTCTTTTGGACTTGTACCTATTCCAAGCTCTTCGTATGACAATGTGACAGAAAGAAACTGAATTTATGCATAAATAATGTTGATTTAGATGAGCAGAAATAAAATGCTAACCTTTCTTTTTGTGTGTTTTATCCTCTGCTCATTTGAATTGCAGTAAGTGCTGTATCAGAGGACTAGTGGCTTAAACAATACTGTGGCCAGATAACCTTACAGTCACTATTTCATTAGTAAGATCACCTTTGAAATTTTTACCTTATTTTTATTTCTCAAAGAAACTGACTTTTCTGGAAATGGTGATGGAGAAGGTGAACATGTGTGAAAATGCCTTCAAGCCCCACTTTTTTTGCATGGGCTGGATGTGAGGCTGCCCTGCAGAAAGTCAGGGTGCAGTGCATGGCAGGGACTTGCCCTCCCACTGAAGGGTGCCAAAGAAGCTACAGCTCTGTGGGTCCTGAATCCATTCAGAGTCACAACACTGCCTTTGCACCCTCTCTCTGATTATTGGTATTGATGATCTTGGCTTCAGTTTGCTCCGTGAACTGTGCCTCCGTGGTTTGGTCGGGGCACTCAAGAGCTGCTTCCCTGGAGTGCAGATGTTGGCATCAAGTAGAGGAAAAGGAAGAGTTTACTTTTAGAAGTGTGAGTTCTTCCTGCTCAGAATTATTTTTAATCCAATGGATTTGACTGTGCAAAGTTCTTGTACCTCTGGGAAAGGCTGGTCATGGTGTGTACATTGCCAGCTGGTGTGGTGGCTTTGCAAGGCTTTCAAGTCCTTGTTTCTAGCAACTTGGTTTCTAGTTTTGTTTTGGTTTAGTGGATCTGTATCTTGAATAGTTTCTGAAGAAGAAAGGTGTGAATAGCAGTGATACTTTTTTCTTTGATCTTGGATTGTTGTCTGTTGAGCCTCTGTTTCTGAAGAGGACTTGCTGTGTAAACAAGTGTTTTTAAAACATGTATTGCTGTCGTTTCCACTGGCAGATTGACTGAAAGGTTTGTGCTACAGTCAGCACAGGCCTGTGGTGACATCCAAATGGGGTGAGCCAGAAAGGCTCAGAATATTAGAGGTATTTGAAAGCATAAGCAGTTCATAACTAGTGTCGTTCCATGTGTCTTTAGCATGCTTGTGCCCAGAGAGATGGAGTTAACACTGTAATTCCATCTTTCATAAGACAAAATGTGGTTTCCCTCCTGCTCAGGGCAGCAGGATATGTCCCCTTCTTCTCACTGCTTACTCCCTCTGTAAAGATGATCCTGTGGCAGAATTTCATTTGTGTTGCATTAACTCTGTAGACACATTGACCACCAGTAATAGTACTTTGCTGTGATATCAGATAGCTGTTTAAAAAAGTAGGTAGGACTACCTCCATTTCCTCTTTTATTCAAGCTTTCATTATGGTAAATAATAAATCCAGGTAAGTTTTAATTAAAAATTTAGAAATGCTTTAATGAAGCTGTCCTGGACCAGTGGGAATTTTGGCTGAGTTGAGTGCAAATGTTGACCCAGTAAAAAATTTAATGTATGTTGCTTGTAGGGGGAGTAGGTACATCATATTAACTGTGCACAGACACTGGGAAGGCATGGTTGAGGTGAATAAGCTGTGTGTGGGTATTGAGCCTGTGGGGATGACTTTATTGGTTGTGTTTACACTTGGGACAAAGCTTAAGAAAGCCTAGCTTTGTCTCAGCAGCCCTGGTCTCTGCTTCAGGGCCTCCTTCTGCAAGGAGGTGTTGTGCTCTCAAATGCAATGATGCACATGCTGTCCTCTGGCCTCATTGTGGCTGCAGTTTTCAGAGAGAAGGTGTTTTGTTGTTGGTTATTTTGATATGGGAAGGTGAAGCCCCTAATTAGATTTGTGGGGGTCTGTGGCATACTCATAACCCCAGGGAAGTTTTGTCACTGTGTCAGCTCCACTGGAGGGGATCGGTGAAAATTGCTCTTGATTCTTGACTCAAATAGTGCACATCTGTTTGGGAAGATCAAGTTATTTTAAAATAGAGGTGAAGTACCCAGTGGCTGCTTTTAACAATTTCTGTTCTGTGGAAGCTTTTTTTTCTTATTACTGTGTAGCAGCTTTTCCTGAACACATGGTGAATTGTAGTTTTGCAAAGCAAAATATCTTCACATCTGTGAACTGACCTGCATGGTTTTGCCTCACTTTCTTTATTGAGTGTATGTGTGTGTATATATAGAGAGAAGGATGAGTTACTAGG